TTGCTTTATTCACCCTTCTATACACCTTTCTGGGGGACTATAGGTAGGAGTCAGGATTATTTTAAAGGAAATTGCAGGTATTATTTTTACCCATAAATTCTTCAGTAAATTTCTCTATGAGGTAAGGACTTTTTTTTTTTTTTTTAACCATAATTCCAATCAGTATCAGCCTTATACCTAACAAAATTAATGTTATCCTTTAATATCATTTCTCCATTGTCTTAATACTTATATCTTTTTGTTGGTCGTTTGTTTGAATCATGTTTCAAAACAAGGTCCACCTATTATATTTGGATATTTAGGTAGTATATCTCTTAAGTTTCTTTTAATCATGAACCATTTCTCCCCACCTTTTATACACACACACACATGCATACACATATTTACACACGTATGTTATACATACATTATTATTTATTGAAGAAATTGGTTATTTGTCCTACAGAATTTCCCATATCCTATTTGTGACTAATTGCATCCTTGTGGTACCATTGAAGATGCTCCTCTGTTTCTCGTATCTTATGCTGCTGACAGTTAGAACTAGAGTCTTGATTAGATTTTGGTTCAATTCTTTTGCCAATATTTACATCATAATTAGTGTATACTTCCTATTACATCATATGAGGCAGCAATGATGTCTGCTTGTCCTATTTTTTGTGACATTAAAATTACACCAGGTTGAAGCACCTAAAATCACTGACCATCAGTAATTCATTAATGGTTGCAAATGTGATTTCTGATTTTATCATACCTACTGCCGGAAGAAAAACTTTCCTTAATCAACTGCATATTTAGTTATACTGAAAATATACTTTATACAGGAAAGGCAAGATAAGTGCTTGATTTTTTTCCCCTTTATTTGTCAATTTTCACAATAATGAGTTGATGCGCACTAATAAGCTGCAGAAGTTGTTCTGAGGGGTGAGAAACCCAGCTTGGCTTCTGTATCATTTCTGGCAAAATGAAGATGCCATGGGCTCATCAGGAACATGTCTTCTGCCAGACCTAGAGCCAGCCATGTCTCTGAAGGGCACTTGTTTGTTTTTCAAAATAACAATACCAATATTTTACTAAGATTATTGAATGCAGGTTAAGTATTTTGTTTGTTTTTTATAGTTCTTTTGTCTTTAAGATATATCCCACCAGAATGTATAGCCAAATACTGTTTTTAAGTTTCTTCAAATAATTCTTCTCTGGATGACTATATAACTTAGAAAAAACAAATTCATTGATTTTCAAAGTAATCCATTTGCTTTGAATTTTTGAATTATTTTTAAATTATCTAATGTTTTTATAAGGCTCAATAGTCAAAACTAAGATACATTCAGAAAGGTTTATCTTTGATCTGTATCCCATTCACCCAGTATTTTCTTCACCCTACAAATACCATTTTGTTTTTGGTTTAGCCTTCCATTATTTTTTTTTTATGTAAATAATTTTATGAATATATGTGTACACATACATACGTATACACAAGTATACATATGTATGTCGTTTATTGTGACACCCATGCATCCATTAGCTAAATAGGCATGGAGGTTAAAATTGAGAGGCTGTTACAGCTGCTCATGCACACTAGTCTGGTAGTCCTGTGGTAATTTGACACTGTACCATAGCAAAGACTAGTTACCTTGTAGAGTCCTGGGAGATTTTATTGGCTATATTTTGGCCAGCATACCCTTGGAATTAGGTACTGACTTGGTCTAAAGCTGGCTAGATAGAACAATCTCCCATAAAAGTTTTTCACAAGACAAAATGTTACAGTAGTAACTACTCTGGCCTTTTTACAATTCTGTTTCCCTCCTATCAACACATACAATGAAAGGAATAGGAAGAGTGTTTTCTAATGCTTACTGCTTTGAATTTACTGTATTACCAATATGTTCAACTTTATGCTTGGGAGAAAGAAATAGCTTAAATATTACATTTCAGTAAGACTGGTTCCTATTAGAGAAATTCAAGAAATAAGTGATATTCTAAAGCAGTTAAATTAAACAATTAAGAACAAGAAAAAAATATTTAACAATATTACTGCTCTCCTCAGCTGAATATGGGAGAGCCCTAGTTTCATGCATTTTTCTTTACCCGAGTTAAGTAGACCTCGTTGTTAATGTCAGGTCACTGTATAAGTGTAAGTACTTCCCCACAGTTGTAATTTTAAAGAAAGATAGATCAATATATCCATTGGACCAGAATTCACTTCTACAGATTCTGTCAAGAATATATTACAGACTACTTTATGTTCCATTGTGATTGATGTTTTATATGATTTTTAAGGTTACAATTGGCCTTCTTATGTGTATAGAACTCTATCAACTAAAGAAAGCTAAAAATTGTGAATATTTATCATCATGGAGAAAAACCTGATGACTGATACTCATTAACAGCATATTTTTTTCTTTTGTGTTTCTAGTGTGTCACAACTCACAGATATGAATGAACAAGAGGAGATATTACTAGAACAGTTTCTGACTTTGCCTCAATTAAAAAAAATTATTACTGACAAAGATGACTTAGTAAAAAGTATCGAGGAACTAGCAAGTATGTCTTCTCTTACTTCAGCTCAAATTTCCTGAGAAAAATGTGATCTTTACCTAGAAATAAACCAGGGATTTATCTTACAGGAAAAAATCTCCTTTTGGAGCCCAGCTTGGAAGCCAAAAGGCAAACCGTTTTAGATAAGGTGAGTTAGTGAAATCATTTTGAGGAAATTTATATAATTTAAAGATAGAATAAAGTGACATTTTAATTTTCTCTTTTAGTATGAATTACTTACACAAATGAAGTCTGCTTTCGAAAAGAAGATGCAGAGGCAGCATGAACTTAGTGAGGTAAGATTGTTTAGTTCTTTTCCTTTTCCATAAAAACTTTTAATGTGTATGAGTTACATTCTTATTTTCATTATTATCAGAAACCATTTATTAAGTGTCTGACTTTATAAGGCATGATACCTGTAAATGTAGATGAATGGCTCTCAATTATGAGGCATTATAAATCATTTGCTCTCATGTAAGAGCATATCTGGTTCTAAAACATAGAAAAATATGAAAAGCCACCAGGGAAACCTTTCCCAGGTAAATTATGAAACCACTGTAACCCTTATAATAAAACCTAACAACAAAAAATTTTAATTCTTGACTGACTTTTAAGCTTAGGTACAAATAGAAACTTAGAAAATTAACAAGTATAATATAAGAAAAGTATAAAGTATAATTTACCACAAATAATAGGTTTTATGCTAGAAATCAAGTTATATAACAATCAAAAGTATTTTATAAGATTCCACGTATACTTCTGAAAAAATGAATCTTTAAAAAGGAAAAGGGAATGGAGGACATATCTTTATATCTCATACCCATAAACAATAGCATAGTTAACAATATTCTATTTCTTTTGAAATCAGGAGTTTTGTAAGGTAAAGCCAATGTAATAAAACATAAAAGAGCAAGAAATAAGAAGAGCTAACACTGCATAATTAGTATGTGTCTTACACTGCCCAGAGCTATTTACATATACACATTGCCCCATTATTACACCAAATCCTATGGGGTAGGTACTTTTCTTTTTCTTTTTCTTTCTTTCTTTTTCTTTCTTTTTTTTTTTCATTTTATAGATGAGGAAACTGAAGCACTGGGAGATTAAATAACTTCCTTGAGATCATATAAATAGAGAATATATTCAAGTTAGAAGTCAAACTTAAGCAGTCTTCCTTCACAGAAAATCTGGGAGAATCAACTGAAAAGAGCTTAGTAGATGTTGAAGAAGCTTCTCACAGTAGTCAACATGAGGAAATATTAGTCTTCCAACTTTGTTCTTTTTCAAGATTATTTTGGCTATGCAGGAATCTCTTGATATTCCATATGAATTTTAGGATGGGTTTTTCTATTTTTACAAAAAATGCCATTGGGATTTTGATAGGGATTGCATTGAATCTGTAGATTGCTTTGGTTAATATTGTCATCTTAATGATATTAACTCTTCCTACCCATGAACACAGGATGTCTTTCTAGTTATTTATATCTTTAATTTCTTTCAGCAGTGTTTTGTAGCTTTCAGTGTACAAGTCTTTCACCCATTTGGTTAAATTTAATTCCATCACTTTTGCCATATTCTATTGATTAGAAATGAGCCATTAGGTCCAGCCCACTCTTAAGAGGAAGGAATTATACAAGGGCAGGAATACCAAGAGGGTGGGATCATTAGTGGTCATCTTTGGGGGTGCCTGTCACAGTGACTTAATTCCAGAATCCCTATGAGAGGACACTGATTTTACAAGTTTTTCTCATTTAATAGTCTTCAGCCTGTGGATTGGTTTCTCTTATGATAGGTATCTACCCCTATCCAAAAGCCAAGGACCTAGGTGGGGCCTTATAAAGTAGCAGGTTTCCTCAACAAAGAAGCTTTGTAAGACATATAACAAATTGCTTCTCTATACCTCTACCTCATTTCCTCTCCCTCTAAGGAGTTTTTCTGAGTATTATAAACTAATATTGTGCTTGATTTTCTTTTTCAGAGCTGTAGTGCCAGTGCCCTACAGGCAAGATTGAAAGTAGCTGCACATGAAGCTGAGGAAGAATCTGATAATATTGCTGAAGATTTCTTGGAGGGAAAAACTGAAATAGATGATTTTCTCAGTAGCTTCATGGAAAAGAGAACAGTATGTAATACTCTTTAGTTGAGGACCAGTAACAGTGTAATATCAAATTACTTAAGTATACTATGAATAAAAAACATCAGCACTTTACTGAGAGAAGTCTGAAAAGCCTATAATGAAAATGATAGCAACATCTCACTTTCACTTTGAACCTGCTTGTTTTCAGTACAAAAGCAGATAAATCTAGTAATAGTTCTGTTTCAGAATTGGTAGTACCTGTGTCATTCTGTAATAAAGCTGGTAAGTCAGTTTTAGTCTTCATAGTTGTAATATACTCCTTAATAACCTGTTTTACAAATTTTTTAAAGAGAATAACCTATAAAGATTATAAATTTTTTAAAATATTGAGAACATTCTGGAACAGTTTATGTTCTGATATCTCCATTGTATTTAAAGAAAAACCCAAAAAGTCTGCTTAATAGTTTCTTGCCTTTTAATAGAGTCCAAAATATTGAAGTTCAGAGATGTTATGACTTACCTATGGTTATAGCATTAGTCACGCATTGATATCTGGTCCATTATTCTTTAATACTGTATAACTGTGCCTTGAAGTTTGTATTTGTTAATTTCCCTGGTTAACAGTAGCAGAATTTATTTCCATATTTTTGAAACAGATATTTGAAATTATATGATCAGAGAATTGATATAAAGGATCAGAGTTTATTCTGCATTCTACATGTTTGCAGACAAAGGCTATCTTCTAAACAAAATTAAATTTTTTTGCATTCTTAAATTCTGAGGAATTATATGCTACCTTAAATGTTCAAAATTTGAAATAATGTTAACAGGTTAAAAGATTCTTCTGTTACAATGTCGGAGGTAATAGGCACACCTTTGGAAAAGTGACTGGTATTTTAAATAATTTATTTTCTAGATTTGCCACTGTAGAAGAGCCAAGGAAGAGAAACTTCAGCAGGCAATAGCAATGCACAGCCAATTCCATGCTCCACTATAGGTAAATTATAATTTGGGTTTGAGTCTCAAGGCTATTGCATAAGTATTCTTTAATCGTAATGTTCTTAGTAGTGCCTGTTCATCCAGCCTTAAGCATAATTCTGACATTATAGGTATTGTGCTATGTAACATATAAAATCATTTGTATTATATATTAAGCATAATAGTACATAAGTAAGCATATAACCGGTAGAAATCTTTTGGATATTTTCTCACTATAATGTTGGCTTGAATGAAATGTTTTTTAACATCAGATGGTTCGTTATGTAGAATCATAAGTTATAGTTAGTTCCTTTGTCTCAGCTGACAAGTATACTATATTACTTGGTTGATGTATTTCTCAGTAGGCTCCATTGTCATTTCTTCCTTTAAAGTGAACTTCCAGTCTGTTTCTTTTCCATCTCACACCAGGATTACTACAACTATTTTCTTACTGGTCCTCCTGACTTGAGAGTTCTCTTTCCTACACAACACTCACAGGATGATCTTAAAAATACCACTTCTGTGATAAAATTTTCTCTGCTCCAGAACCTATATGAGCCCCTAGCAATGACAGCATCAATACCAAATATCTCTCTGATTTTAAGATTTCTGTCATCTGGCATATGTTTCAGATAATCCACTTTAATTTTCTCTTTTCCCCGTATGTTGTCTTACACGGCGTGTTCTTCCTTCTACCACCGTATCTTTGTTCATGCCCTTACCTGTTAAAGAAGCCTTTCTTTTTCCTCTCCATCTGTTTTGTTTTAGGGATGATTTGGTTGTAAGAACTACTTCCCACCCCAACAAGCTTATGTAAAAGCTTATGTTGGATAATTCAGGGATTCATATAGAGCCAAAATGAAGGAAAATACTGTCATCTGAGAGTGAAAACACTAGCAGCCACTCAGTAACCAGAACAGCTCCTCCTTTCAGACCCTTTCTGAGTCTTCTTGTTTGCTTGTTTTTCTTTTCTCCATCTTTGGTTTGGTTTTTTGTTTTTGTTTTTTTTAACCCCTGTGTCACTCACCCTTCAACCATTGCTGCCCACAAGCCTGATTATATTACGTGACAGTTCAAGCAGCCAGTGGAGACTAACAAGAGTCTCTGGAGTTCCAAAATCCCTGGGAAAGAGGCTGGCCCAAGATGGGTGGAAAGAGTCATCCTTGCCCAATCAGTTGGGCCTGGAGATTGGTGTCATGTGGTCCTCCGCCCAGTAGACTGGACTGAAGGAGTGGACTTTGAGAAGAGAGCGTGAGAGGTTCCCTGAAACAGGGATTGGGGTACAGGAAAGGAAATGACAGGCATTTCTGCTCTCCAGCTCAAACTCATCTGCCCCTTGTCCTTCACATTAGTGCCTACATTGAATTGTTTGATGTTAGTTTCCAAATCATACTATAAATTCCTTGAGGGTTGGGGCTGATTTTTGATACCAAGTTTGCATTTCCCACAACTTGAGGAGGTGGACACTGAGCAAATGTTTATTTATATCAACATGTGAGAATTCTTTCCTTATCCCTATTCCCTCATAGTCAGTCACATTATCTTCTTGTAGGTAAGTCTTAATTGGAAGAGGGATGAAAAATTATCATCTTAAATTAAATCTTAGTTTGGTTTTTCTTTCCAGATTTTCCTGGAAACATGAACTGCCAAGAGAGGAAGGAATGGGACACAAAACTAGACAAATTGTTTTATATTTATGATTTACAAATTGGCATTTCATCACAGTGGCTAAAATCACAGATATACTATATAGATTGTATACAGAACTGAGACTGATTTTTTACAGATTAGAATGAGTGCTATGATCTTTGCTTTAAGGAATTTTTCTGCACTATTTGCACTAAAAAATGTTTATTTATTGATAAATCCTATCATATTTAAGTTCCACTGCTGTTCCTCTTATTATTAAATAACTATGCATGTAATTTTAGCTAGTTTTCAATATTTTATAAAACTTCATCTAAATTTGTATTTTTAATTTGAAGTTGCCTCATTTCTTTATCAAGAATGGTGTGTTGTTTCCTCTTAATCTTTTTCGAAAAACTATTTTCAACTGTGGAAATACCCTTATTTTTCTTCTTTCTGGATGATAAAACTTTCAAAAGCAATTTGTTTTTAAATATTCAAGGTGTCAGGAAACACCAAACCTGTGAATATGCCACCTCAAGAAAGTAACTTTTAATACCTACAATAAATCAAAAGAATAAACCAGCTGCTTTTATATATTATTTTATTTTTAAAACTAAAAATGCATTTAAAAAGCAATACAATATTTTACCTAATAGAAAAAAATTGCCTTTCACTTAAACCAGCCCAACATAAACTTCATGCTAGTTTTAAAAAAATAAGTATCTGATAGGTTTGTGGTTGGATAGGATATACTTTCTAAACTCCTGATACTAAATTTAAAAACAATCTTTTTGTTAATAAATAGTAAATCTAGATTTAAAAAAGTCAATGAATTTTTCTGACATTTACCGTGAGTTAGATTTTCCTAAGTGCAAAATATAGTAATAAGTAAAATTAATATTTAATTTTTAGACAATCTTAATTCTTAATGAATTTGAATTTTCTCTTGTACTATGTTTAGCAATTTGCTTCTATACCAAGTCACATATTCCATGGGTAACCCTAAATGAACTATATATCTGAGGCTTGGTAAGGTAATATCTAAATTACAAAACAACATAATGCATAGTTTTATTTAAATTTCATCCCAATATGATTGTCATTCCAACACCAGGATATAGTACAGATATCTTTTCTTCATCTTTTTGTTTTTCCTATACATGTTTATAACAATCGAGTTTTAGGAAAAACACAATTATTTTCTTAGATTGAAAAAATGCTTAATATTTTAGTCTGTGTTTGTGGAAGGCAAGTATATGGACTATAAAGATACAATATTGGATACAGAAAATAACTTATTAATTGCTTGTCTTCCTGGCACTGTGCTACGGGCACGCTGTTTAATCTTCAAAATGACCAGATGAGAAAGGTATAATTATCATTCCTGATTTATAGATGAGATAACTGAGGTAAAATTAGTATTTCAAATTTGTAAACAGTATCATACTGGAAAGCTTAAAAGTTATTAGACTATCGAGGGTAGGGATTTGTCATAGATAGAGGCTAATATCTCAAAATAGAAGAAAGTTCTAAATCAATGACATATATATATATATATATACACCCCAAAGATATCCATTTCAAAGTTGGAAGAAATTTCTAGGAATAAATAGAGACTGGGTAATTTGTATCAGAATAGAAGTTGTTTGGAAATAGGTTTGATCAGAACTGATACATGCTTAAATTGAAGGATAGCTCAGATTAATTTTTAGAAGAAAGTGAACTAATTCTTTAAAAAGTTCAATTATTGATTTGCTGAATTATCAAAATTCTAACCTATTTTATATCAAATATATCTTGCACTGTAAATATTAATAATTGGGAAGTAACAGGCCTGAATCAAAACATTGGTTTATTCCCTCTTCCCTAATATAAACCATTGCCCTAAATAAAATACCTCCTGATTGATGTTTGATTTAAAATGAAAAGGTAGTGTTAGAGATTTTAGTCTTGTTGGATTGGCCATGCTCTTTCAAGGCTCTGTGAAACCACAATAAAGTTTTAGTAAGCAATAAACGTAAACTTTTATATAAATTTCAGTGTTAGGTTAACTTATAATAAGTAGACTAAATGAACATGTACTTAAATTATAATGTCTCATAAAAAGGTTAAAGGGAATAAAAAAAGTTTATGGCTCTGATGTGGAAGATATCACGTTAAAAAATTAAATTTTAAAGTATCAAATATTTATACTACTTTTCAAAATAAATGCATAGTCCTATGTGGTATAGATCCTTTGTCATTTTTTAAAAAAAAGATTTATTATTCTTTTTGTAGACATACACTGCCAAATGGAAGAAATTAAAGTCGCATCCTCAGTATCAGGCAACAAAGTTTCTAAGAGTGGATAACTACGAGAATGGCTTGAAGTGAGTTATGTTATGATAATGTGAAAGCCATTACCACTATATCCTAAGTTTTTATCATTAGCAAGGTCGTCCCGATTACATACAGTATACTGCAGAAAATGAATAAGCAGTCCTTGTACTTAATTTGGGAACAGTTCAACAGAGAATGCTCAAATTGTATATTCTAAAAGAATTACACTTGCTTTGTTTTTTTACATTAACAGAGTACTTTTATATTACAGGTTTCTTATATATTATAGTTATTCTATTTTTAAATATGATGAACAACACAATTACACTATATTATTTCATTTATGTATATTGCTACACTCCCTCCAATCTTTCATACTAGAGATTTTAGTACTGTCACTTTCTTGCCCTTTCCTTTGTTCTTATTTCAGCAAAATTTAGTACAGTCTCCTATAAAAAATTTCACATATTCAAAATATTGATGTAAATTGTAAAAGTTAAGTTTAAATTAATCCCTTTACATTCTAGAATGTACTAATATTTAAAAACCAAAAAGTGTGTTACTATTTATCTCTGTCTAAACATGGCAGCTTTTCTCCACTAAGTTTCTTCAGATCAAAAGTTGACATCACCCAGTAAAGTCCCATTTTTTTTTTTTTTATCAAAACATAGAGAATGATTCTGCCTCACATGTACATCTTTGCAAAAACTCTTTTCAGAGCTAACTTTGAGCAGTCAGTGGTCATCAGTGTTACTAATGTCAATTAAACCATATTAACCAGTTATGTAATTTCTAAAATGTTAGGTGACAAAACTCATTCCCTTCATTAAATAGACACAACAACCAAATTCTCTAGTTCTTAACTGGGATTTTCCCTACTAACTTTACAGTGTTATACTTCAGGCTCAGTCTGGTGGTTGGCCCACACTATCGGTAGTATAGTCTCTGGAACAGTAATAAAGAGGTTGTTATCAAGAAAGCTAATACGATCTGAATTCATGTGTAAAACCCAGAGAATGAATGTTGCGCCTACGATGTTAGGTATTAGACCAGTGTTAGACAAAAAGTGAGTTTTAGTGTTTTTTAAATGAGGAGGAGAAACAGAAGAGATTCCAGAGAAAGGCAACAAAATTATTATTATAATTCAAAATATATATAAGGAAAAGTTAACGTGATTATTATTCCTAAAAGATAAGCTTCACATAAACAATTACAAAGCTTGTCAAAGCTCCTGAGGAATATATCTGTTAGCTCAAAGAAAAGCATCTCAACAATGTGCTCTGTTTCTGGAAATATTGATAACAGAGTCAGAAAGAAAGGTAATGTAAAATGTTTTAGTAAAATAAGAGGACAGATTTAAGATAACAGGTGTGAGGGAAAGGGGTTTGGGCTTTTTGGTGGATGCATGCTACGACAAGGAGGGTTTATATTGAGAACTTGGGGGAATGACAGAAGTAATTGCAGTGACTACAATTCTCATAGTCTAGAATGAGTTTCAAAATGGTGAATAATTTTCCTTATATTTGATAAAAGAAATGGCTACTTCCTGTCCTTCAATATCTAAAGAAACTAAGACATTTTTTCCCTTTTCATAGCTGCATTTTATAATTCTCAATGACATGTACCATTTCTTGAGGTGTTTTTGTTTTGTTTTTTAAATTTTAAATTGCACTGTTCCCTTATTTTTGGAAGTGTTTCTTGCGTGTCCTTTACTTTGGAACTCCAAAGGGAAACTTCAAGCAGTGAGAAACACAGCTTCGTCGGAATCCCGGTCCTTGCCACTGTCCTCACTCGGCGCATGCTCGCCACCACTTGGAGACCGACAGCTCAAATCCTCCACCCCGGACTCTTGGTCACTGTTGGCTGACAGATCTGGATCCGAGCTTTTCAAATTGTCTTGGGTTAGAATCAGAGCGGAATCCTCGTCACCTTGTGAAGGGCTCCTGGACGGAAACGACTTCATGTTCCCGCTGTAATCCTGGGGAGTGTTGGCTGTGCTGTTGTCTGAGGTAGAAAACCCTGAGTGTCTGCTGGGTTCACTTTGCTTACTCTTCACTTTAGTGTCATCTAACTGGACTCTCTGAATTTTTTCCAGCCTCTAAGAAAGAAATAACAATTTTAGGGGAAAATCATAAATGATTTATCTCTTTTTATATATATGCATGCCTCAAATATTCATTACCTCCCAGCTGGGTATAATGTTAAGAACATGGGAGCCAGATGGATGTGGGTTCAAACCACTTTATGACTTTAGACAAAACCTGTGAGGCTTGCTTTCTTCATCTTTAATGTAAGGATGGTAACACCTGCCTTGAAATAGGTTTTCTATAAATGTAACACAGGCAAGGCACCTGGAAATCACTAGTCTCCCTCCTTTCTACACCCATATGGTTTATATAATGATTCTCATCCCATGAACTCAAAATACATTTTTTAAAAATCAGGGATGAGCTGTTTATCATCTTTTAAGCTGAGATATAATTCATTTACCTTAAAATTTTAAAGTATACAATTCAGTCATTTTTAGTATATTCAAAGGTTGCCCAACCATCACTAGTAATTCTAAGACATTTTCTCCTCCCCACCTCAAGAAAAATCCCTTATACTCAGTAACAGTCATTCCCACTAATCGATTTTCTATGTCCATGGATTTCCATAGTCTGGACATTTCATATAAATGGAAGTACACAGTATGTGGCCTTTTGTGTCTGCTTTCTTTCACTTAGCTTAGGTTGATCCATGCTATATATAGAGCATGTATCAGTACTTCATTCCTTTTTATGGCTAAATAGTATTCTGTTACATAGGTATCACATGTTGTTTCTCCATTTGTTGGGTCATAGACATTTGGGTTATTCAAAATAGATTTTACCTGATTTCATCCTCTTCATCCTCTAAGTCAGCAGAGGAGGTGTTACAAGATGACGTATTATGTATTCATTCAAAAAAGCATTCAAATTATGTGCAGAAGCACTGTGCTGGGTAATATGAGGATCTGAGATAATTACAGAGCCAGCCATGAAGAACTTGGAACGTCATAGCAAAGAGAGGCAGAGTTTGTGTAATGTAGGAATTTGGAGGAGGCAAATGTTATTTAAGAAGGAAAAGGTGGTATGGTTAGAAGGAAGAGAGCAGAGTAAGCTTCAGGGAAGAAAGCATTTTAACAGGACTTGTGAAAGAATTAAACTTGGACATTCTGGTGATGGTGAGAAAGCATTCCTGGCAGCGGGGACAGTGAAAGGAAAAACACAAGGTAGGAAAGGTATAAATTGTGTCCAAGAAGCAGAAACATTTAAATTTTAGCTAGGGGAATAGTGGAAAGTTGAAAAGGTGGATTAGACTGGGTTATGGGAAAATCTCAAATGCTAGGTGAAGGAATTTTGACTTTGGCTTTCATTTCCTTTTAACAAAGTTTTTTAAATTAAGGTACTTTTAGAACTCTAAATAATTTTTAAAAATTATTTTAACAACAATTATTATTTTAACAAGAAGAATGCTGGAATAGACTGGTAGAAACCTAAGATTTTCATGAAGTTTTGATGTGTTTAGAAAGAATAAATAAAACTAGCCCAATATGACATGAGAGGACTTTGAGCAGCAAAAGGTCAAGCTTCTACCACGGCTCCAGAATTCTAAAAACCTAACCTGTGTCTCATTCCAGTTCGCTGTATATATTCTTTAATTCAAAGTCTCTGAGTCCTAGTGGCAATTCACAGTCATCTGTGGCACAGTAAAGATTCTCCAACAGAATCTCTAGGCTTAGTGCCCAGGCATTAGGATTTTTTTGTAAGGTGGTGATTTTGATGCAGAAACAGGTCCATATAGGTCTCTCCACACAGGTCCAAAGATGTTTTGTTGGAACATGGCAGATTTATACTAGAGTAAGATTTATGCTTAGGTTCAAAAGTTCTCAAAACCAATAGTTTAACTTTGTGAATCTGTTTTATCTGTCTGGCTTCTGTATGCACTTGAGTTTGCAACTCTAGATTTAAGATCGTCCATGATTATTATATCTTGAAAGGTGATGTTTCCTAAGAGGAGTCAATCTCACCAGCTATCTCTAAATGACCATCTCTATTGTTGGGGACCTTCAACCACAAAGCACCATTTCCCCCAGGCCGTCATTTTCAGTGGTGACTGCAGGTGGCTATCCACTGGGTAAAGGAGTAGACTGAGAATTTAGCTGGTGATTTTTGCCAACCTTTATTTAGACATTCTCTAATCTGAAAGTAGGAAACTAAAAGTTCTAGTCACATTGCTTTATGAGGTATACTAAAGTACCTTAACTATTGACAGTTTCCCAGACTTCATCCTAATATTTTTTCCTATACTACATACGATCTTAAAAAAAAAAAAGCCCTCAGTTCAGAATTCAGGTTCCAGACAATTCTTGAGCAAGTGAAGGATGTGATGATGTTATGAAGTTTTAAGAAGATAAATGAGCAAAATGAAGCAAAGAATCCAAGTGGGTTTGGGGCTCACCTAACCTAGTGTGATATCACTGGAAACAAAATAATCCAATCAGGAAAAGCATTTAAGTATATTATAACCTCTCTGTTCAAGTAGGGGAAAGTTACAGAAGCCAAAACAAATAGACTTTTTAGTAGATCTCACCTGCTGGTTACCATTTATAAACTGATATTGTTATATAAAAGTACAGAAGTAGATTTTTTACTACAAGTACATGTATCTAATTTTATTCTTTCAGTTTTTTCCTTACATTTTCTAGAAAGAATTAATTTTAGTGCTTTCAAATAATAGTAACAAAAAACATTGACCTGTAGTAGGAGCTGCCAACTAGTTCAGCAAACTGGCAGCAAGCCACAGGCCTGAAATGTATTCAATGCCTAGGTTTGGGCTTCAGTTACCTGGGTGCTTACCTGGATGGGTTGTGTTTTAGGTTTTCCACTGGCTAAAAATACAAAATGGTTCTATTGCCACATTTTACCTACGGAGCCAGATGGATGTGGGTTCAAACCACTTTATGACTTTAGACAAAACCTGTGAGGCTTGCTTTCTTCATCTTTAATGTAAGGATGGTAACACCTGCCTTGAAATAGGTTTTCTATAAATGTAAACAAAATATAACACAGGCAAGGCACCTGGAAATCACTAGTCTCCCTCCTTTCTACACCCATATGGTTTATATAATGATTCTCATCCCATGAACTCAAAATACATTTTTTAAAAATCAGGGATGAGCTGTTTATCATCTTTTAAGCTGAGATATAATTCATTTACCTTAAAATTTTAAAGTATACAATTCAGTCATTTTTAGTATATTCAAAGGTTGCCCAACCATCACTAGTAATTCTAAGACATTTTCTCCTCCCCACCTCAAGAAAAATCCCTTATACTCAGTAACAGTCATTCCCACTAATCGATTTTCTATGTCCATGGATTTCCATAGTCTGGACATTTCATATAAATGGAAGTACACAGTATGTGGCCTTTTGTGTCTGCTTTCTTTCACTTAGCTTAGGTTGATCCATGCTATATATAGAGCATGTATCAGTACTTCATTCCTTTTTATGGCTAAATAGTATTCTGTTACATAGGTATCACATGTTGTTTCTCCATTTGTTGGGTCATAGACATTTGGGTTATTCAAAATAGATTTTACCTGATTTCATCCTCTTCATCCTCTAAGTCAGCAGAGGAGGTGTTACAAGATGACGTATTATGTATTCATTCAAAAAAGCATTCAAATTATGTGATGGCTCTGATGTGGAAGATATCACGTTAAAAAATTAAATTTTAAAGTATCAAATATTTATACTACTTTTCAAAATAAATGCATAGTCCTATGTGGTATAGATCCTTTGTCATTTTTTAAAAAAAAGATTTATTATTCTTTTTGTAGACATACACTGCCAAATGGAAGAAATTAAAGTCGCATCCTCAGTATCAGGCAACAAAGTTTCTAAGAGTGGATAACTACGAGAATGGCTTGAAGTGAGTTATGTTATGATAATGTGAAAGCCATTACCACTATATCCTAAGTTTTTATCATTAGCAAGGTCGTCCCGATTACATACAGTATACTGCAGAAAATGAATAAGCAGTCCTTGTACTTAATTTGGGAACAGTTCAACAGAGAATGCTCAAATTGTATATTCTAAAAGAATTACACTTGCTTTGTTTTTTTACATTAACAGAGTACTTTTATATTACAGGTTTCTTATATATTATAGTTATTCTATTTTTAAATATGATGAACAACACAATTACACTATATTATTTCATTTATGTATATTGCTACACTCCCTCCAATCTTTCATACTAGAGATTTTAGTACTGTCACTTTCTTGCCCTTTCCTTTGTTCTTATTTCAGCAAAATTTAGTACAGTCTCCTATAAAAAATTTCACATATTCAAAATATTGATGTAAATTGTAAAAGTTAAGTTTAAATTAATCCCTTTACATTCTAGAATGTACTAATATTTAAAAACCAAAAAGTGTGTTACTATTTATCTCTGTCTAAACATGGCAGCTTTTCTCCACTAAGTTTCTTCAGATCAAAAGTTGACATCACCCAGTAAAGTCCCATTTTTTTTTTTTTTATCAAAACATAGAGAATGATTCTGCCTCACATGTACATCTTTGCAAAAACTCTTTTCAGAGCTAACTTTGAGCAGTCAGTGGTCATCAGTGTTACTAATGTCAATTAAACCATATTAACCAGTTATGTAATTTCTAAAATGTTAGGTGACAAAACTCATTCCCTTCATTAAATAGACACAACAACCAAATTCTCTAGTTCTTAACTGGGATTTTCCCTACTAACTTTACAGTGTTATACTTCAGGCTCAGTCTGGTGGTTGGCCCACACTATCGGTAGTATAGTCTCTGGAACAGTAATAAAGAGGTTGTTATCAAGAAAGCTAATACGATCTGAATTCATGTGTAAAACCCAGAGAATGAATGTTGCGCCTACGATGTTAGGTATTAGACCAGTGTTAGACAAAAAGTGAGTTTTAGTGTTTTTTAAATGAGGAGGAGAAACAGAAGAGATTCCAGAGAAAGGCAACAAAATTATTATTATAATTCAAAATATATATAAGGAAAAGTTAACGTGATTATTATTCCTAAAAGATAAGCTTCACATAAACAATTACAAAGCTTGTCAAAGCTCCTGAGGAATATATCTGTTAGCTCAAAGAAAAGCATCTCAACAATGTGCTCTGTTTCTGGAAATATTGATAACAGAGTCAGAAAGAAAGGTAATGTAAAATGTTTTAGTAAAATAAGAGGACAGATTTAAGATAACAGGTGTGAGGGAAAGGGGTTTGGGCTTTTTGGTGGATGCATGCTACGACAAGGAGGGTTTATATTGAGAACTTGGGGGAATGACAGAAGTAATTGCAGTGACTACAATTCTCATAGTCTAGAATGAGTTTCAAAATGGTGAATAATTTTCCTTATATTTGATAAAAGAAATGGCTACTTCCTGTCCTTCAATATCTAAAGAAACTAAGACATTTTTTCCCTTTTCATAGCTGCATTTTATAATTCTCAATGACATGTACCATTTCTTGAGGTGTTTTTGTTTTGTTTTTTAAATTTTAAATTGCACTGTTCCCTTATTTTTGGAAGTGTTTCTTGCGTGTCCTTTACTTTGGAACTCCAAAGGGAAACTTCAAGCAGTGAGAAACACAGCTTCGTCGGAATCCCGGTCCTTGCCACTGTCCTCACTCGGCGCATGCTCGCCACCACTTGGAGACCGACAGCTCAAATCCTCCACCCCGGACTCTTGGTCACTGTTGGCTGACAGATCTGGATCCGAGCTTTTCAAATTGTCTTGGGTTAGAATCAGAGCGGAATCCTCGTCACCTTGTGAAGGGCTCCTGGACGGAAACGACTTCATGTTCCCGCTGTAATCCTGGGGAGTGTTGGCTGTGCTGTTGTCTGAGGTAGAAAACCCTGAGTGTCTGCTGGGTTCACTTTGCTTACTCTTCACTTTAGTGTCATCTAACTGGACTCTCTGAATTTTTTCCAGCCTCTAAGAAAGAAATAACAATTTTAGGGGAAAATCATAAATGATTTATCTCTTTTTATATATGCATGCCTCAAATATTCATTACCTCCCAGCTGGGTATAATGTTAAGAACATGGGAGCCAGATGGATGTGGGTTCAAACCACTTTATGACTTTAGACAAAACCTGTGAGGCTTGCTTTCTTCATCTTTAATGTAAGGATGGTAACACCTGCCTTGAAATAGGTTTTCTATAAATGTAACACAGGCAAGGCACCTGGAAATCACTAGTCTCCCTCCTTTCTACACCCATATGGTTTATATAATGATTCTCATCCCATGAACTCAAAATACATTTTTTAAAAATCAGGGATGAGCTGTTTATCATCTTTTAAGCTGAGATATAATTCATTTACCTTAAAATTTTAAAGTATACAATTCAGTCATTTTTAGTATATTCAAAGGTTGCCCAACCATCACTAGTAATTCTAAGACATTTTCTCCTCCCCACCTCAAGAAAAATCCCTTATACTCAGTAACAGTCATTCCCACTAATCGATTTTCTATGTACATGGATTTCCAGAGTCTGGACATTTCATATAAATGGAAGTACACAGTATGTGGCCTTTTGTGTCTGCTTTCTTTCACTTAGCTTAGGTTGATCCATGCTATATATAGAGCATGTATCAGTACTTCATTCCTTTTTATGGCTAAATAGTATTCTGTTACATAGGTATCACATGTTGTTTCTCCATTTGTTGGGTCATAGACATTTGGGTTATTCAAAATAGATTTTACCTGATTTCATCCTCTTCATCCTCTAAGTCAGCAGAGGAGGTGTTACAAGATGACGTATTATGTATTCATTCAAAAAAGCATTCAAATTATGTGCAGAAGCACTGTGCTGGGTAATATGAGGATCTGAGATAATTACAGAGCCAGCCATGAAGAACTTGGAACGTCATAGCAAAGAGAGGCAGAGTTTGTGTAATGTAGGAATTTGGAGGAGGCAAATGTTATTTAAGAAGGAAAAGGTGGTATGGTTAGAAGGAAGAGAGCAGAGTAAGCTTCAGGGAAGAAAGCATTTTAACAGGACTTGTGAAAGAATTAAACTTGGACATTCTGGTGATGGTGAGAAAGCATTCCTGGCAGCGGGGACAGTGAAAGGAAAAACACAAAGTAGGAAAGGTATAAATTGTGTCCAAGAAGCAGAAACATTTAAATTTTAGCTAGGGGAATAGTGGAAAGTTGAAAAGGTGGATTAGACTGGGTTATGGGAAAATCTCAAATGCTAGGTGAAGGAATTTTGACTTTGGCTTTCATTTCCTTTTAACAAAGTTTTTTAAATTAAGGTACTTTTAGAACTCTAAATAATTTTTAAAAATTATTTTAACAACAATTATTATTTTAACAAGAAGAATGCTGGAATAGACTGGTAGAAACCTAAGATTTTCATGAAGTTTTGATGTGTTTAGAAAGAATAAATAAAACTAGCCCAATATGAGAGAGGACTTTGAGCAGCAAAAGGTCAAGCTTCTACCACGGCTCCAGAATTCTAAAAACCTAACCTGTGTCTCATTCCAGTTCGCTGTATATATTCTTTAATTCAAAGTCTCTGAGTCCTAGTGGCAATTCACAGTCATCTGTGGCACAGTAAAGATTCTCCAACAGAATCTCTAGGCTTAGCGCCCAGGCATTAGGATTTTTTTGTAAGGTGGTGATTTTGATGCAGAAACAGGTCCATATAGGTCTCTCCACACAGGTCCAAAGATGTTTTGTTGGAACATGGCAGATTTATACTAGAGTAAGATTTATGCTTAGGTTCAAAAGTTCTCAAAACCAATAGTTTAACTTTGTGAATCTGTTTTATCTGTCTGGCTTCTGTATGCACTTGAGTTTGCAACTCTAGATTTAAGATCGTCCATGATTATTATATCTTGAAAGGTGATGTTTCCTAAGAGGAGTCAATCTCACCAGCTATCTCTAAATGACCATCTCTATTGTTGGGGACCTTCAACCACAAAGCACCATTTCCCCCAGGCCGTCATTTTCAGTGGTGACTGCAGGTGGCTATCCACTGGGTAAAGGAGTAGACTGAGAATTTAGCTGGTGATTTTTGCCAACCTTTATTTAGACATTCTCTAATCTGAAAGTAGGAAACTAAAAGTTCTAGTCACATTGCTTTATGAGGTATACTAAAGTACCTTAACTATTGACAGTTTCCCAGACTTCATCCTAATATTTTTTCCTATACTACATACGATCTTAAAAAAAAAAAAGCCCTCAGTTCAGAATTCAGGTTCCAGACAATTCTTGAGCAAGTGAAGGATGTGATGATGTTATGAAGTTTTAAGAAGATAAATGAGCAAAATGAAGCAAAGAATCCAAGTGGGTTTGGGGCTCACCTAACCTAGTGTGATATCACTGGAAACAAAATAATCCAATCAGGAAAAGCATTTAAGTATATTATAACCTCTCTGTTCAAGTAGGGGAAAGTTACAGAAGCCAAAACAAATAGACTTTTTAGTAGATCTCACCTGCTGGTTACCATTTATAAACTGATATTGTTATATAAAAGTACAGAAGTAGATTTTTTACTACAAGTACATGTATCTAATTTTATTCTTTCAGTTTTTTCCTTACATTTTCTAGAAAGAATTAATTTTAGTGCTTTCAAATAATAGTAACAAAAAACATTGACCTGTAGTAGGAGCTGCCAACTAGTTCAGCAAACTGGCAGCAAGCCACAGGCCAGATGCCTAAAATGTATTCAATGCCTAGGTTTGGGCTTCAGTTACCTGGGTGCTTACCTGGATGGGTTGTGTTTTAGGTTTTCCACTGGCTAAAAATACAAAATGGTTCTATTGCCACATTTTACCTACCAAGTCTTGAGAGGCTTTCCTGGAGCACTGCTCTTCAAGAAATAAACACAGAAAACAGACAACATAGCAAGAGTGTCTTACTTCTTCCAGGGCCTCCAGCTCCTCCTCCAGCTGCTGCGTCTCCTCCTTCACTGCCATAAGGTAATCTGTAACTGACTGTCGGGGCTGCATCCCCTTTTCAAAGCGGTTATACATGCCACTCCAAAACCTGGAAAGGAAGGCAGAGCTTTATACCACCATACCACAGTCTGAAAACACACATCCTCAGGTCTTCTCGGGTTTCTTTAGTATCAAAGTTTTAACCAAATGCAAATTACAGGCTTGAAAAAGCCACTACTTAAGGTAATAATTTCATGTTGATGTTTTCTTTGTCTTGAGTCAGTATAAGCATCTTTTGGGGAGAATAAGTTCATGAAGAGTCTACTTGTATATGGTACTGAATTACAGACATGTAATATATTTTTCTAAGATAGAAGTGCCTGTTACCATTTTCTTTTTGTTTGTATGAAGAAAATGGCTCTTAGTTTTGAACTTTGAAAATCAATGATTGCATATTTAGACTCCTCTAGCTGCAAAAGAAGTCTTTTAAACTTGTAGTTTTTAGCTTTTGTTTTATCATAACCACCAAAAATTAACATTTTCATTTATAATAAATCCTATGCAATAAAGCATACTGGAATGCAAATGAGAATAAATGGTGTTATCATATAGTTATCCTTAGACCCACTCTTTTATTTATTTAGAAAAGTATAAATATTTTGAGGGCAGGGACATGGTGTCATTCCTTATTTTATCCATAATGCCTAGAACAGTGTTTGATCTACAATATTTGTTGACTAGCTATTAATAATAAATTAGTTGCAATACAACTGATTATGTCTCAACAGCTCTTAAAACCGATGTTTTTACAACAAACCATAGAAGCATTTTTTTTAGTATATAGGATTAATATTGTGCTATAAAGTTCTGGGGAAATAATTAGATTGAAACAATTAAGAACAAAAACATCTTGAGGAATGAAATCTATGGGGAAGAAATGCCATTAAATGTGTGTCAGGAGTGAGTAGGGAGAAGGAATTTAGTTTCTCAGTTTATTCTGTGTTAGTCTTTTTGTTTACCTCTGAGTTATTCTTCTTACCATACATGCATAGGAGGAAGCCAGAGGATAAAATATATTAGTACATATCTAGTTCATACCTAGCAGAATCTGTAGGATGCTACACTATTCTCCCCATCTCAATCTTAAAATAATTTATTTTCATAAGGCAAATATTTCTACCAGGACTCAATTCAGCAGAGACAAAAAGATAAGGCTATGTCATGCTCGCTATTGAAACTTGTGATTCCACATTTGACTTATAAGGCATTTGGTTTATTCTTTTTCTTTTGCTTTTAAAAAACAAATTGAAGATATCACTATTATAAGACATCAACTTCTGAAGAGAATTCCACATTTAGGGGGAATGAAGAGGGAGAGGAGACACTGACAAAAATACCACATCAAATACTTCTGTGGTGTGAAAGCCTGTGTGTCCAAAAAAGCCTCAAAGATCAGTGTTTCATACACTGTGGCCTCTGACTGTTGAATCCAAGTTCATACCACAGAAAGTTCCGAGAGGTTTACATACTTGTACATGAAGTTGCATGGTGTTGTGGGAAGATGAAGGCTTCCCTGGGTCTGGCTGTGATCAGCTCTAAACAGAGGATTCAAGTAGTCAGCCCGATTCTTCCACAGATGAGCCCATAATGAGTATGTTCTTTCTTGAATTCTGTTTTATAAAGGAAATAAGTCTGAAAATGACCTCTTTTGGTTCTTACAAATAGATGTGTAATATTAAAGCTGGACAGGAACTAATAACCATCTGAATATGAAGTATCCCTGTTCTGTAGCAGAGAAATTTACAATCTTTGTGGCTTCATGGTATAGTTGAAAGAACATTGTAATAATCTCAACTTCTCTACTATCTGTACTGGCCTTGACAAGGTGTGTAATTTCTCTGAGTGGAAAAAAAAGTACCCTGTAACTTTTAGGGGGCAGGCAGTTTCCCCAAGTAGTCACTGAACATTTATAATTTGCCAGGCACTAAATGTTTCACGTTTTCTCTCATTTAATCCTCACTGAATTCCTATATGTCCATTTTGCAGATGAGGAAACAGGAATAGAGACATTAAGTAGTTTCCAAAATCCCATAGTTAGTGAGTGGAAAAGCCCAGATTCAAACCCAAGCAGATTCTATCAGACTTGGCTGGTCACGTGCAACAAACCACAAAACTACCTAGGAAAACAAGTGAGCCTGAAGGATGCACTCTGCTACTTTTAAATCATCTCCGTTTATCAGGAACTGCACTTAAAGTTCCTTGGAGAAAACAAACTAGTATCCATTAGAAAAACTAATTTTCTTTCTGTTCAACTCAAAGACAGTATAAAACTACTGG